AATTGCACCAATTGTGAAATTGATTGCAAACCCATTCAGTACAGTTGATGCCTCTGAGAGACATTGTTTCAAGCTGACATCAGAAAAGTGGATGTTAGAATAATAAACATTGAAAGTGACATTATTCTACAGTCCCATGCAAAAGATGAAACTTCTGGAAACTTGTTGACAAAAATAAGTAACCTCTTCTAAGAAGTGCAGCATTGAGGATAAATTGATGCTATGGATCAATGTACCTCTGCGAGTCACTGTTGGCCAATATGAAGTATATTAAGTCAAAGATCCAGACTTACAGATTCACATCTAAATGATTGTCTGCGAGCTGCAAGCTCATCATACAATCCAGATTTCAACATGTTGGTGGAAGAAATGCAGTGCCAGGTGTCACATTAATAGTAACTAAACTGACTTTCTGTTTGATGTTAAAGGTTATACACATACGTAGTATATAATATGCATGTAAATAATGTCCCTAATTTTTAAATTGGGAATTTTATTCCCTTTTGTTCTGTACTACTCCATTTGGTTCATACACATAAATTCATAGAGTGCCCGCTGTGTATTCAAAACTTCTCCCAGGAGCCCTACACCCAAAAAAGGTTGTGCGTTGGGCGTATACACAATGATCTACATTGTGTAGCTCCTTTAGAATCTTAAAGACAGCAATCATGTCGCCTCTCAATCTTCTCTTTTCCGGCATGAACATGCTCAATTTACTTAGTCCGTCCTCATAGTCCAGACCCTCCATTTTTTGATTACTCTCCTCTGTATCCTCTCGATTTTTCCTTTTGTACTGTACACAGTCTCTAAGTATGGTCTCACCAATGATTTATACAGTGGCAGGAACACCCCACTATTTTGGTTTGCTGTTGATCCTTTGATATATCCCAGCATCTGGTTTGCTTTACTCTCTGCCACAGAGTATTGTTGCGAGAGCTTCAATTTATTGTCAATCAGGGCCCCCAGTTCCTTTTCATTTTCCAGACATATTATTTTCCTTCTGTTCAAATAATAATCTCTTCCTGGATTTTTTGTCCCCATGGACAGACTTGTCTGGCAGCTATGAGCTAGCGTGGTGTTTGATTCTGTCTGATCCTGTTTAATGATCAGTGACGAGAATAGGAAAATTCCTACATCCATCACCTCCTGCTTCGATTTTTCCAACACCCTTCCTGCCGGTCTCCTCAGCTCCACCACCCATAACAACCAACTGATTCATAACTCTGTGGCTGTAACAAACTGCACCCACATCACCCCATCCTCGTCAGGCTGCACGAACAGATCAATTTCACGATCCTCACACTAACTTACAAATCAATTCATGCTCTAACAGCTCTCCTCCTCTCCAACCTGCTTCCACTCCACTCCCCACCCCACTGCTCGGATGGCTCCAGCCGCACGTTTGTCCCTCGTTCCCTCTGCTCCCCCATCAGTGGCTGTGCCTTCAGCCAATCCAGCCCGAATATCTGGAACTATCTTCCTCAATCCCTCCACATCCCCACTTTCAAATCCCGCCTAAAGGCCTTCCTTTTTCATCATGCTTATGGTCACCTCTCCCCTCGCTTTCCCTCTGCAGATTCTGCCACTGTCAATTGCTGCAGGAGGCTACCCCGTATAAAGGGGCTATATAAATGTTGTTGTACGTTGCTGTTCCTTGTCCCCTCGGCTTAACCATTTGGGCTGAGCTTTCAGTAAACCCTGAAACTCCTGAAATCTCTGCCTCAATCCCTCAGTCGTGCCCCCTCATTGCCCATCTTCAGATCAAACCTGAAGAACTTCCTTTTTGACCTCCTCCCTATTTGCAGCTCAGGGTTTGACTCCTCGTGAAAGGCAATGTTTTACTGTATATTTGACTTATATTAAGAAGAGGGCTTCCCTATTGGGCCAGCTGACATTAGTGTTACAGCAATGAGCTCTGCAGAAGCTGTTTAGTATTGAAAGAAAATGACTCAGATACCAGGAAGTGTCTCTTTACTCAGTGGGTAATAAACAACTGGAAGAGGTGGTTGCGGTCAGGACCTCTGTCACGACCTCTCAAGATCCACCAAGCATTTATCACATCCAAGCTTGACGACACCTACACTCTGTTTGCCATCTTCCCCAGCACTTCCCAAAACCAGCTGCAAACTAAATGGTACAATTTTAAAGGGGTCCAGGAACAGACAGACCTGGGGCTTCACATACATACATTTTGAAGGTGGCAGGACAAGCTGACAAGCTGTTAAAAAGTCTTTAGCTTTTTAAATAGAGACATAGAATATGAAAGAAGGAAGTTATGTTCAACCTTTGCAAATCGCTGGTTAGGCCTCAGCTGGAGGGTTCTGTCTGTTTCTGACCACTGTACTTTAGGAAGGATGTCACGACCTTGGAAAGGGTGCAGAATTACACCAGGGATGTGCTATAATTATGTGCAAAGTCTAGAGAGGCTGTGATTATTTTCCATAGAGCAGAGAAGGTTGAGGCGAGATTTAATAGGGCGTTCAAAATTCTGATGGGTTTTGATCGAGCAGATGGGGAGGAAATGTTTCCTCTAGTGGGTGGGTCGGTAACCAGAGGACACAAATTTAAGATATTTGGCAAAAGAACCAGAGGGGAGACAAAGAGAATTTTCTTTTACCCGAAGAGTTGTTATGGTCTGCAATGCACTGCCTGGAAGGATGATAGAAGCAGGTGCAACACTTTCAAAAGGGGAGTTGACAGGTATTTAAAAAGGGAAAACTTTGCAGGGTTATGGTGTGAGCTCTTTCAAAGGAAAGGCACGAGGGGCTAAATGGCCTCCTTCTGTGCTGGATGATTCCATGATTCTAAACTATCCAGCGCTCTGAAACCCGTGTCATTTCCCTAACCAGGCTCCTCATGCCGAGCATCACCCTCCTCGCTCAGCTGCATTGGCTCCACATCCCCAGCGGATAAAATTCAAAATCCCTGTTCTCACCATGAAATCCCTCCATGGTCTTGCCTCATTCAAGGTCCATCTAGATTTACTACTTTGACCAAACCTTTCCCACTCCATTGCCCTTAGGTTCCCCCCCAGCTCAGGTGCAGCCAATACTGCTAAGCTCTTTAGTGTGACCTCACTGTGTGAAAGGTGCTATCTGATTATGAATTTGTATTGTATTTTGTTGTCTGTAACCACACTGCTGGTACTCTCTGTAATTTAAATAAGAGGCCAAACATCAATATTAGAGGTAGAATGGTTAGATGTCAGATCCCAATCCCGACCCTCAGCTCGGGTCCAAATTTCTGACTCTCCAGCACCTTGGGACGTCCTCCCAAAGTTAAAGGCGCTATACAATTGTAATTTGTATTGTATTATATCAGGAAAATATTTCTTCACATAGAGGGTTGTGATAATGTGGAATTCATTGGCCCAAAGGCCATAGAGATGGAGCCAATTGGGATGTTTAAAAGGGAGATAGAGAGAAAGATACACTGTGTTATGAAACTTTGTACTTACTATTTAATTATTAATGAAATAGTGTGTGCACAGTTTGGATGTTAAACAAGTCTTTCTTGATTGTAGTTCCAGTCAATGATTGTGCAAAGGACAACAACCCACAATTGCAACATACAATAATTGTAGCAACGAGGTTTCAGAGAATAAGTAGTGATCAGTTACCTTCTCTTCAGGAAAGAACATCATAGACAATTTGGGGAAGAGCAGGAGAGTAGGATTTGAGAAGACAGCTACAAAGCATCAGCACAGACACAATGGGCTCAATGACATCCTTCTGTGCTGCAAACATTATAATATAGCTCCTTGGGGGAGAGGTAAGCGAGGTCTCCTTGGAGCTCCAAGGTGACAAGCCTGACCGTATCTGGTAGTCTCTTGTCCGGTTCCTGAGCCAGGCAGGTCCGCAGTATTCCAGGGCACAACCCACTTGGCTCATCAGCAGGACCTGGAAGGGCAGAGCCTTCCATTGTCCACTGGGGCAGGAAGTCATTCCACTCAGCTCTTGTTCATCGTACAAACCAAACCCACAGGGGTAGGGTGTTCCTCGCTGGACAAGCAGCGGGAAAGCTTGCCAGACAGCAATACCAATACCAAGTTATGCAGTTTTATTTGGTTAGACTCCACCAGTTACCCCAACGCACACTCTGGGATCCACAAGCCTTGGCTTTTGCTCACCTGTGCCTATGGAATTATGTAAACAGGATGTGTCCCTCCAGGGAGAGAGTGCACATTCCATTCCAACAATCTAACTCTGGGATTTCCATGTGTTGGTGGGATGTGTGGAATTCTCAGCTTGGATACTGTTAAGTTTGGTGATGGGTTTCCTCATGTGTCAGACGGAGTCCTGTAGCTCAGTGGTTAGACCACTCGCTTTGCAAGCGAGAGACCTGAGTTGAATTCCAGGCAGAGGGCCAAACCTTGGGCAAGTTTCCTTACTCCACACACCTAATAATAATCCCTCCAAAACCAAAAATAATAATAAATTGGTCATTTTCAATCTACGACTGTTTGTGGGACACTGCTGTGCGCAATTGGCTGCCGCGTTCGCCCACAAATGTACAGTCAATTCACTTTACAGTGTGTTCTGTGAAGCGCTTTGGAACGTCCTCCCGACGTGAAAAGCGCTATATCAAAGGCAAGGATTATTATTATAGATACCTGGCTAACCAAAAAAAAGTGTCCCAGGGATACAGAGCCACAGTCTGAGGCCGGCACTGAAGGGAATCCCGCCCTACTACAGGACGCTGGAGACTGTCTGTGGTAAATAAAGATCTGCACATACACAGATGTTGAGTCTCTGTATTACATTTCTCGATGAAGCCAAAATGTTCTCTCAACCGAGGATCTCCACTTGCCGTGGTGCCCAGGGCACAGAGGCTGGTTCTCTCACCGCTTCCATAGCTGGACACATCAGTACAGAGCAGTGATGGGATCTGTTATCCTGGATCTGAGGACCTAATTTCACTCTGGACAGAAGCTTTATCAATGGGGGCAATGGGTTTAGGCTTCAAGTTGTGTATAATGTACAATATTTCTTTCCTTTCAGAGATAAAATGGCTTCACTTTCTCACTCCAAATCCTTCAACCAGGAAGAACTAAAGCAGCTTCAGGCTGCTTTTCAAACAGGAGGAGTTGAAGGTGTCACACCCCTGATCCAGAAGAAGTTAAAGGACCTGGAGTCTGTAGAGCTTAACATTGCAGTAACAGGGGTAGCAGGAGCAGGGAAATCCAGCTTTATCAACAGTATGAGAAGTCTTCAGAGAAATGATGAGGGAGCAGCTCCAACTGGTAACGTCGAAACCACACTGGAGGAAACCGGATATTTACATCCCGATCTGAAAGGTGTTTATTTCTGGGATTTGCCTGGAATTGGAACTTCAACGTTCAAAGCCAAACAATATCTGAAGAAGATAAAGTTTAAAAGATATGATTTCTTCATCATTATCTCACACACGAGATTCACTGAGAATGATACGTTGCTCGCCAAGGAGATTAAACGTCTGGGCAAGAACTTCTACTTTGTTCGATCAAAAGTTGACAATGATCTAAATGGGCTTGGAGAGGAGGGTATTGATTATAACAAAGAAGCAGAGCTGGAAAAGATCAGGAAGGATTGTGTCAGTAACTTGGAAAAGGCAGGGATTCAATTCCCATCTGTTTTTCTCATCTCAAGCCTCAAACTGGATCAGTTTGATTTTCTTATATTAAGGGAAACTCTTGCAAATGATCTCCCAGATATAAAGAAAGATGTTTTCATCCTGTCATTCCCAAACACAACTGTGGAAATTGTGGAGCAGAAAAGGGAGATTTTAAAGAAAAGAGTCTGGATGATGGCTGTAGCTTCAGCAGCTGTTGGAGCTGTGCCAGTTCCAGGGTTGTCCTTTGCTTGTGATATCGCTCTGTTAGTTGCAGGAATAATATATTTCCGTCACTGCCTGGGTCTGGAAGATGCCTCTCTTGGAAGATTGGCCAGGAGAGTTGGTAAACTTGTAGAGGATCTGAAAGCTGTAATAAAAACCCCCCTCTTGGGTGAGATAAACATTGATCTAGTTACTAGGTCAATGCTCGGAACTGGTGCCATTGCCATCTCCGCACTAGAGCTGGCCCTCGATTTTGTACCAGTTGTGGGTTCTCTCTTTGGAGCATCATCATCATTTATTATGACCTACAAGCTGCTGAATGCTGCACTTGATGATCTTGTGAAGAATGCAAAAAGTGTGGTGAAGGTCGCATTTGATACTAATTAGGCTCCTCGTCTCCACCACCAACCACCTGCTCTGCCCACCCACACGTGCTCCCTCCATCCTCACCCCCATCTCCAAATGTGAGCAGATGACTGACTTCCTCAGGTCTGTACAGATGTTCACTTCATATCAGAGACACAGTGTGGAACCTCAGTGTCTTGTTAGACCCCCAACTGTTTTTCAAACTTTACATCTTGGCGCTCACTCTCTCGGCTTTCCCTCACCTGCACATTCCTCTCCTCCACCTCTCCTGCTCACCCCACTCTCCAGCACCTCCCTACACAACGGCAGACCATCCAGATTTCAACAGCCCAGGTCTTCTCCTGGACCAGACTCCTCTAGCCTATCACATTCCTCCTCACTCTACATCAGTGTTTCTCCACAATCCATCAGATCTGTGTCAGGTCTCTCTCTGCCCACTGTCATTGGCTGAGCTCTCATCTACTCTGTCTGTATTCTCTGCAACTCAAATCCCAAGTCTCTCCACCTCAGAGGCCTCCACTTTTGCATCTTGCAGTAAGACCTACCTTATCAACCGAACTATCCTTCTTCTCTCCACCAAGCTCTTCCCCACACAGGCCCAAGTTGTCTAGTCAGAAGCACTTCCAGACATCCGCCCAATATAAACGGTGAAAATTAAGTATAAATTTGTTGGTAATCAAAAATGAGATTTTCCATGGTTTCATGCTGTTTCTTATGAAGGATTCCTGTAGCAATGGTTAGAGCATTCGCCTCGCAAGGGAGAGAGCTGGGTTTCATTCCCAGTAGGGCAAAACCTTGGGCAAGTTTCGCCGAGGGTGGAGCAGAGGATTCGGGGGACAAGGAGGAGGCCAGACCCAGAGGAACAAAGGTGTTAGAAAAGGTTGATTTTAATATAGTTTGTAAGAAGAGCAAAAGAAGAATTAATAGTCAATTTATTATGTGTGTATATCAATACCATATATGCATGGCAGTAGGAAACGGGAGAAAGAAACTGTTTTACTAACATTTTAGGAATTGGCAGAATAAGCCCTCCTGGTTCTCAAAGGCCAACAATCAGTCAGTTGTGATGGTGAGAGAAGGCATAGAACAGGATGCAAGAAGGGCCCAAGAAATCTGCATTCCATGAGGGCACCTAAATAAAGCTGCTCAGTATTCTGTGAACACAGACAGGGACAGGCTCTGGGCTTGGAAGGGAGAAGCAAGATGTCCTGTGTTGAAGAATAGTGAGCAAGCTGCTTCATCTCGAAGGGTCTGCGTATCTAGAAGATATGGGTACAAGGATGTGCAAGGGTAGAGTACATTGGGTATGTGCTAAGATGCCTGATTGGAGCAGAAGGGGGGAAGATCCCTCAGGGAAAAAGTATAACTATCCTGACTTTAGGCAAGTAAGGCAGCAGATCCAGCCGGACAAAGAGGGCAGCCGAACCAACGGCGAGAAGCTGTGCTGAAACCATCGCAACCGACTGACTGACTGATCCAAAACTCGTAGTGTAAGTTCTGTTACTTGTAGTGGCAGTATTATTTTACTAGTTTTGTATGTGTTACTTTGATTAATAAATCTCTATTATACCTTAATTGGATTGTCGGGTCATTATTTGAACCTCGGGATAGGAAATCCCAACTTAGCCAATGAGCACTGTTGTGAGGAGAGAGGAGGTCAGAGAGGGGGGTGCAGAGGAGTGGAGGGATTTGAAGACGAGGGTGAATTTTGACGCCATCTCCAGCCCATCAATCTCTCCCTATCGTCTGGCACAGTTCCCATCTCCTTAAAAACAGCTATGATCACCCCCATCCTGAAAAAAACCTTCCCTGGACCCATCCCCGCATTCTAAACACTGGCCCATCTCCAACCTCCCTTTTCTTTCTAAGGTCCTTGAACGAGTTGTTGCTTCCCAACTTCACTCCTTCCTCTCCTATCCCTCCCTTAATGAGTGCCTCAAATCGGATCAATTTTGTTGTTGTTGTTATCACATCGTTATCATGTTAAAGCGCTTCACAGAATAGACGTCAGCCAGCTCCTAATATTTACTTTTAATACACAGTAACATCAGTTTGTGAAGCAGCTTTGGTTGGTATTTTATTTGAAAATCTACTCACTATGTGCGACGGCCACTTTAATGTGTGATGTCACCTCAAGTTTAAGAGATAATAATAATCCTTCCTCACAACTGGTCTATCACCTTTCACTTGTCAGTTACACGGTCAGCTGCCTGGTACACACTGACCCTAACAACAACAACAACAAGTTATACTTGTATCGCGCCCTTCATGTGGGAAAGACGTCCCGGGTCACTGGAAAGACAGCGTCTCCTCCAGAGCTCAGCTTCTCACATCATGTCCAGCAGCAACAACGTCCAGTTACTGTAACTGAGCCAAACACTAACACACATACACATAGGGGCTTCCTCACAGAGGGGGAAACCTCAGCCTTGAGGGAGTGGAGGTGGTTGGTGTACCAGGAGGACTTCCGTGAGTAGGAGGCAGAGTGATGTGTTATATTATGCTTTAAGAGCAGGGACAGATTCTTTAAATTTAAGAGGTAATAATTCCAATGTATCAGAGATAGCTGGAGAGTTAGAGAGTGAGTTTGGATTTAACTTTTAAATTCCTTTATTTCAATTTATTTATGAAACTTACTGCTCTGCCCTCACCTCCACTAAATCATCCTTCCACTCCAAGACAATCTTGGAGGCCAAGGACAACTTCAGGCTCCTCTTCCTCATCTGCACCCTCCATCCACACTCTCACACCTCACCCATCCTCTCCTCCGATGCTGGAGGAGATGCTGGACTTGAAGTGCCACTCAACCGCCACTCCCTCCCTGTCTCCCCCTCACATTCCAGCCCTACCCATTCGTCCCTCCACACCTTCTCATCTGTTTCCCCCTCTTCTCTCACCACCATTATAACCCACATGAAACCCATCAACTGCTCCCTTGACACCGTGCCTACCCTTCCCCTTAACTTCCAACTCCACCTGCTTGCCCCTCTACTCACAGACATCAGAAGCATCTCCCTGGCACCATTCCCACCCCTGTAAAAACAGCCGTCATCACTCCTGTCCTTAAAAATCCCTCCCTGAACCCATCCCTGCTCTCAAACTACCGTCCCATCTCAAACCTTCCTTTCCTTTCCAAGGTCCTGGAATGCTTCCTAGGTTTGCTTCTTCCGCTCCCACCATTTGCTTCACAAACCTTCACAAATCAGGTTTCCATGCCGCCCACAACTTTGGTCAAAGTGCAAAATGACATTTTGTCCAGGGCTCCCTTTGCCTCCTCATCCTCCTTGACCTCTCTGCTGCCATTGATACTATTGACCACTCCTCCTCCACCATCTCTCCTCTCACCTCATTCTTTGTGATCTGTCCTTGAGTTGTTCAGATCCTACCTCTCACATCATCTCTGCTTCACCTCAACAAATGGCTTCTCCTCTAGCCCCACACCATCTTGTGCAGAGTTCCTCAGGGCTGTGTCATAGAATCATAGAATTATACAGCACAGAAGGAGGCCATTCGGCCCATCAGATCTGTCCCAGCTCTTTGAAAAGATCTATCCAAATAAATCCCACTCCCCCGCTCTCTCCCCATCGCTCTGCAAACTTGTCCTTTCCAAATAATTATCTACTTCTCTCTTAAAAGTTATTATTGAATCGGCTTCCACCAGCCTTTCAGGCAATGCATTCCAGATCCCAACAACTTGCTGTGTGGAAACATTTCTCCTAATTTCTCCTTTGCTTCTTTTAACAACTATTTTAAATCAGTCCTCGGGTTACCAACCCACCCACCACTGGAAACAGTTTCTCCGTGTTCACCCTATCGAATCTCCTCATAATTTGGAAAACTCCTATTAAGGCTCCTCTTACCCTTCTCTGCTCCAAGAAGGATGATCCAAGCTACTTTAGGCTCTCCTGATAACTGATGTCCCTCATTCCTGGTACTATCGTTGACATGGAATTAACTTCCACATGTATGCACATGACACCCAACTCAACCTCTCTGCCTCCAACCTCGCCTCCAGGACCACTGCTGTCCTGACAGAATCTCTGACAGATATCAAGCCCCCTACCTCCTGATTAGCACCCATCAGCGAAATCTTCATTCCCCCCTTGTTTCACATCTAGGCTCGCCTATGTCAATTCCCTCCTTGTTGGGCTTTCCAACCCTTCCCTACACAAGCTGCAGATAATTCAGAACTCTGCAGGTCATGTCCTCTCCTGCACCAGGCTCCGTGACCCCATCACCTCCACCTTCATCCAGCTCCACCGGCTGCCCATCCCCCAGAGGATAGAGTTCAAACTCTTCGTCCTCAAGGCCCTCTCTCCATGGCCTTGCTCCTCCTTATCTCTGTGACCTGCTGATCCCATATCAACCTGTCCGCTCTCTCCGCTCAGCAGGCTCTGGCCTGCTCCACATCCCCCGCCCAGCCAACCCCACCAGCGGCCGCTGAGCCTTCAGCCTTTCTGCCCCCCATCCTATGGAACTCCATCCCATATTCCCTTTGACTTGCTCCCTCCCTTGTCTCCTTCAGGATGCATCTCAAAACCCTCCTCTTCAACCACCCTCCTTCCCTTCCTGCCCACAACCCTTCCTGATATGGAACCCCAGCTCAGTCAATCCCTGACTGTCCAACATCTTGTGGAGTCCTGTATCTCAGTGGTTAGAGCACTCACCTTGAAAGCGACACACCTGGGTTCAATTCCAGTCAGGGCGAAACCTTGGGCAAGTTTCCTTACTCCACACACCTACTAATAATTCCTCCAAAACAAGACAATAATAAATTGGTCATTTTCAAACCACGACTGTTTGTGGGACGCTGCTGTGCGCAATTGGCTGCCGCGTTTCGCCCACAAATATACGGTCAATTCACTTTACAGTCTATTCTGTGAAGCGCTTTGAGATGTCGAGAAGACATGAAAAGCGCTATATCAAATGCAAGGATTATTAGTATCATTATTATTATAAAGTTGTTTCTCAGACTGGAGGAAGATAAACGGTGGTCTCCTCCAGGCATCAGTATTAGGACAATCGCTCTTTTTAATCTATATAAATGACCTGGACTTGGGAATAGGGAGTGCAATTTCCATGTTTGAAGATGTGACAAAACTAGGAAAAGTGGTAAACGGTGAAGAGGATAGTAGTAGACTGCAAGAGGACATAGACAGACTGGTAAAATGGGCAGACAAATGGTGGGAGGAATTTAATGCAGAGAAGTGTGAAGTGATGCTTTTTAAGATGAGGAACGGGGAGAGGCAATTATAAGATAAATAGAACAATTTTAAATGGGTTCAGGAACAGAGAGACCTGAGGGTTCACATACACACATCTTTGAAGGTAGCAAGACAAGTTGACAAAGATGTTAAAAAAGCAGATCCTTGGCTTTATAAATGGAGGCATGCGGTATAGAAGAAGGAAGTTGTGTTGAATCTTTACAAATCGCTGGTTAGGCCTCAGCTGGAGTATTGTGTCTATTTCTGGGCAACACACTTTAGGAAAAATGTCAGTGCCTTGGAGTTGGTGCAAAGAAGATTTACAAGAATTATACCAGAGATGAGGGGCTTCACTTATGTGGAGAGACGAGAGGCCGGGATTATTCTCCTTAGAGCAGAGAAGGTTCAGGGGAGATTTAATAGAAATGTTTGACATTCTGAAGTTTTGATAGCGCAGATGGGGAGAAACTGTTTCCACTGGCAAGTGGGTCGGTGACCAGAGGACACAGATTTAACATAATTGGCAAAGGAATCAGAGGGGTGATGTGGAGAAATTGTTTTGTTACCCAGAGAGTTGCT